TAACAACAACTGTAGCTTCTACAATAACAACTGTAGCTCCTACGACCACTACAACAGCAGCACCTACTACTACAACGACAACTGAAGCTCCTACGACAACCACAACTGCAGCACTTACTACTACAATGTCAACTGTAGTTCCTACGACCACTACGACTGCAGCACCTACTACCACAACTACAACTGAAACTCCTACGACAACCACAACTGCTGCACCTGCTACGACAACTACAACTGAAGCTCCTATGACTACTACAACAGCAGCACTTACTACAACAACTACAACTGAAGCTCCTAAGACAACCACAACTGCAGCACCTACTACTACAATCACAACTGTAGCTTCTACGACTTCTACAACTGAATCACCTACTACGATAACTGCAACTTCAGCTCCTACGACAACCACAACTGCAGCTTCTACAACAACAACTGTAGCTCCTACGACCACCACAACAGCAGCACCTGCTACGACATCTACAACTGAAGCTCCTTTGACTACTACAACAGCAGCACCTACTACTACAACTACAACTGAAGCTCTTACGACAACCACAACCGCAGCACCTACTACTACAATGAAAACTGTAGCTCCTACGACTTCTACAACTGAATCACCTACCACGACACTTGCAACTTCAGCTCCTACGACAACCACAACTGCAGCTCCTACTACAACAACTTTAGATCTTACTACCACAACAACAGAAGCCCCTACAACAACAACTGTAGCTCCTACAACTTCTACAACTGAAGCATCTACTACAACAACTACAAATGCAGCTCCTACGACAACCACAACTGCAGCTCCTACTACAACAACTGTAGCTCCTACGACCACTACAACAGCAGCACCTACTACGACAACTTCAACTGAAGCTCCTATGAAAACCACAACTGCAGCACCTACTACTACAATGACAACTGTAGCTTCTACGACAACAACTATAGCTCTTACGCCCACTACGACTGCAGCACCTACTACCACAACTACAACTGAAACTCCTACGACAACCCCAACTGCTGCACCTGCTACGACAACTACAACTGAAGCTCCTTTGACTACTACAACAGCAGCACCTACTACTACAACTACAACTGAAGCTCTTACGACAACCACAACAGCAGCACCTACTACTACAATGAAAACTGTAGCTCCTACGACTTCTACAACTGAATCACCTACCACGACACTTGCAACTTCAGCTCCTACGACAACCACAACTGCAGTTCCTACTACAACAACTTTAGATCCTACTACCACAACAACAAAAGCCCCTACAACAACAACTGTAGCTCCTACAACTTCTACAACTGAAGCACCTACTACAACAACTACAAATGCAGCTCATACGACAAGCACAACTGCAGCTCCTTCTACAACAACTATTGATCCTACGACCAATACAACAGAAGTACCTACAATGACAACTGAAGCTCCAATGACAACCACAACATCTACTACAACCATTACAACAGAAGCACCTATAACAACAACTGTAGCTCTTACGACCACCACAACAGCAGCACCTGCAACGACAACTACAACTGAAGCTCCTTTGACTACTAAAACAGCAGCACCTACTACTACAACTACAACTGAAGCTCTTACGACAACCACAACCGCAGCATCTACTACTACAATGAAAACTGTAGCTCCTACGACTTCTACAACTGAATCACTGACTACGAAAACTGCAACTTCAGCTCCTACGACAACCACAACTGCAGCTCCTACAATAACAACTTTAGATCCTACTACCACTACAACAGAAGCACCTACAACGACAACTGTAGCTCCTACAACAACAACTGTAGCTCCTACGACCACCACAACAGCAGCACCTACTACGACAACTACAACTGAAGCTCCTACGACAACCACAACTGCAGCACCTACTACTACAATGACAATCGTAGCTTTTACGACAACAACTATAGATCCTACGACCACTACAACAGAAGCACTTACAACGACAATTGAAGCTCCAATGACAACCACAACACCTACTACAACCATTACAACAGAAGCACCTATAACAACAACTGTAGCTTCTAAAACAACAACTGTAGCTCCTACGAGCACCACAACAGAAGCACCTACAACGACAATTGAAGCTCCAATGACAACCACAACACCTACTACAACCATTACAACAGAAGCAGCTATAACAACTGTAGCTTCTAAAACAACAACTGTAGCTCCTACGACCACTACAACAGCAGCACCTACTACGACAACGACAACTGAAGCACCTATAACAACAACTGTAACTTCTAAAACAACAACTGTAGCTCCTACGACCACTACAACAGCAGCACCTACTACGACAACTACAACTGAAGCTCCTACGACAACCACAACTGCAGCACCTACTACTACAATGAGAAATGTAGCTTCTACGACAACAACTATAGGTCTCACGACCACTACGACTGCAGCACCTACTACCTCAACTACAACTGAAACTCCTACGACAACCACAACTGCTGCACCTGCTATGACAACTGCAACTGAAGCTCCTATGACTACTACAACAGCAGCATCTACTATTCCAACTACAACTGAAGCTCCTACAACAACCACAACTACAGCACCTACTACTACAATGACAACTGTAGCTCCTATGACAACCGCAACTGCAGCTAAAGCTACATCCATAACAGCACCTCCTACTATAACAGCTGTAGCTCCTACGACAACTGTAGCACCTACAACCACTACATTTACAGTAACTACAGCAACAACTAAAGCTTTTAATACAACAACTGTATCTCCTACAACCAGCACAACAACAGCTGCTACGACAACCACTGCAGCTCTTACTACAACATCTCTAGGACCTACGACCACTACAACTGCAGCAACTACGACAACTACAACTGCAGCTCCTACGACAACCACAATTAAAGCTCCTACTACAACAACTGTAGCTCCCTTGAAAACCACAACTCCAGCTCCTACGACAACCACAACAGTAGCTGCTACAACAACCACAACTGTAGCTGCTACGACTACCACAACAGCACCCTAGAACAAACTGTAGTCTATGTACTGCAGATAACACCAGCATTCTGCAACAACTGCTCCTACTACACAACCACAATGCTTAGAATCACTCCTATGATCCACTACAACTGCAGCAAACCACTACAACTTACACACCACACTCAGCTCCTACACAACACACAGTACTCCTAACAACCCCACTACAACACTGCACCCGCTCCTACTACACACAATGCACTTCTATACAACCACAGTGCAGTTTACCAACACAGACCCAAACAACTCAGCTCAGACAACCAAACGAGCTCCACAAAACAAATGAGCTGAGACTCCACCCAGCCTTGAAACACACTGTAGCTCTATGAAAACTGCAGCTCCTAGAAACCCAAGCATCTCTACACACTGCACCCTAAAACTCCTAACAACCAAAACAGCCTTTCCCCTAGTTCAACACCACACTTTCCAAACATTCTAGAAACAACTGCAGCCCCACAAACAACCGCTCCAAACCACAATGCGCCTAACAACCGTAGTTCTAACCACACAACACGCACTACAAGACACTCAAGTAACACACCAACTCAGCTTTCCACACACAAAGAGCTCTGGACAACCACCAGCCTTACAAAACACGTAGCTCCTGACAACCACAGTGCGCTCCTACTCCAAAAGCATCCTACATCAACCACACCTCGCAACCACAACACCGTACTCATATTTACAACCAAAGCACCTTTCAACAACCACCCAACATTGATCTCAAACCATCGCGCTCACAAAACACTATGAAGAAACAATGAGCTCTACACAACAACCAAACTACACGAACCACACAAATTGCTCTTGATACAACAGCCGTGCCTTAAGCCACGAAAAACGCTTAGAACTACACGCCATCAAAAGGCTCTACTCACAACAAACTCCTCTAACCACCAAACGTAGTTCTGACACCACAACAGCTCTAACAACACAAAGACTCCTGACCCCCCACACACCACCACTGTTTCATACCATTTAAAATGCAGGCTAAGAAAACCCCAAAACGCTCTCTCAATAATTTTAACCGGCACCTTCAAAAATGACTCCTACCAAATGCACTTTACCAACCATTCAGGCTCCACAAACAAATTTAGTTTAATTTTGCAACAATTCAGGTTCAACAAAACTGAAAAGACCATGATCCGCCAACTAATTTAATTTTAAAAATTAAATGCAGCCCTTCTTGGAAACCTTAACTAATTTAAAGGAAAAACTAAATCAATCTATTATTGTTAGTGTGCTTGCTATAGGCAAGACCACTAGATTTCTTCCATACTTCTTCTAATTATTTGATTCATTTAGCCCGCTTTAGAGTTGCATAAAAGCTCCATAGGCTTTAATGAGAAATATTTGGTTACGCCACTTCTCTTGAACTATTTATGCTACAAAGACCAAACCAACGTTGAAATGTAAAGACTGACCCATCTTAGATTGCTTGTCAAAAGCTTCACATTTTCTAAAACTTTTATAAACTGTAATGATATAATTTGCATAAATTGCCGTAACACTTTATGGATTCAATGCCAATCATGGGAATACAGTGGTAAACATTTAAAATGCTGCTGCTTCTTAACCATTTTAGCTACAAACTTTTAAAACAACTTTAACATTTTCAAAACGTTATAAACTATACTAATTCAAACAAGTATAAACTAGCATATAATAACCTACCAAGAATAATAGTAACTATTGAACCTTTCAAGCTAGAGACACAAACCAACATTGACATGTTCTGGCTATCCTATCCAATCAATCAATTTTTCCATCTACCTACTTTTCCCAACTATAACCAGTCACTTCCATTACTACTGCAGTGACTACCACTACTATAACTTATTTCACAACCATAAATACTTTAAGACAAGCTAGCAAGAACACACATTTTCTTTAGGAAATTGACTTTTTATTTATTATAATTTTCTCTTAGATTTGGCACAGTGATGTTTTTTGTTAGACTGATGTTCCAGCTCAACACACCAGTCCCCACTAAGGATGATGTCCTTGGTGTCGTCGACAAGCAACTGTATCTTCAATTCAACAATCAGACGAACACTCAAACCACCTTCCAGAATGGAACTTATATCAGTGAGTTTAATAAATTAGGCTTATATCATGAAGACATTTATTTCCACTCTATAATTTTTTTTTATAGGTAAACGTTCAACTGCTTCCGCTATGTAAATATTTCTTGAATGTTTTCTAATGTTGAAACTCCTAAATTGTAGCAATTCATTTTGTCTGTTAATATAGTGACCATTGTTTTGTGTGCTCACAGAACTTACAGATACTTCATTTGCCGTCGATCTTGGTTTCAAAATAACCAATGTAACCATGGAGTCGCAAAGCAATAGCCTCACTTTCACCAATGAGACCTACAGCCAGATAGAGGATTCAATTAACAGCCTAGTAAGATATCTCTATACATAAGATACAACCATGGTCATGTTCAGGTCATGACAGTAATTGACAACTTGGTGTTTTGTTCCCTTTTAGCTCCATGATATTCTTTGTAAACCAGACGGCAAACAGTTTGACTTTCCCAAACCCAACTTCACGTAAGTACAACGTCATGTCCGTGAACCAACCCAGCTTTCTCAACTGCACTCTTTAGAATGTCTGCAGATGTCATACAGCTGCTGTTTGTACAGCTAAACAGGATGGATGGGAACATGTTCAACTCTCACACAAAACCAATTTTTACGTCCACAGTACTGTTGGCACTCAAATCAGGGCAGACGTGATGTATGTATACAAAAAGGAAGACATCAACCTCCCTAGTGCTTTTCTAGAGGAAGTCTTAAAAGTCTCAGGTATGCTGCTTTTGTTGCTATTTCTGTTTGTTATTACGGTGAGTTATCAAACACCATGTCAAATATGCGTAATATTCAATCTCGAAAAAACACTTTCACATCTATGGTACTGTATATGACGTATTACAAGTCTATAATCCCCCCTAAAATGTATTTTCATTTATATTCTAGATCTCCTGCCAACCACTGTTGCCCCAACAACCACCACCACCACTGTGGCTTCTACTACGGCAATTAAAACTGCAGGTCCTACAACAACAACCACAATTGCTGCTCCTACAATGACTACAACTGCAGCATCTACAAGTACAACCACAATTGTACTTCCTACCTTGACAACGACAACTGCAACTTTTACCTCAACTTCTATGGCTTCAGTGACAGCAACAACTAGGTAAGCAAGATAATTTAGTAGAATTATTTTATGCAATTCAATTAACACTTTGTCAATCAATGAATCTTTGAAGCGAAGAACCATGTATATCCGTGTTTGTGTCGTTAAAAACTGATATTTTCAAAAAGCATTCAAAATGTCAGCCTTTCTTTAGAAAATGTATTTGAGTACCTCAGTTGGTAGAAAGGCGCTATATAAATCCAATCTATTTTTATTAGTGTGCTTGCTGAAGGCAAGACCACTAGATTTATTACATACTTCTTCTAATTATTTGATTCATTTAGCCCGTTTTAGCACCTAAACGCTTCAAGCTATGAACACGGAACCAACTTAGATTACTTGAGAAAATATTTTTTTGCATTAATACCTGTAGTCGTACAACAATATTGAAATCAGCTCCCAATGCATTTCAACACCAAACCAACATTGATATTTTCAGACTGACCCAACTTAGATTGTTTTTATTCAGCTTTTTTATACTATTTATACTTGTTGAACTATAACCATTTTAAAGTTGCATAAAAGCTCCATAGGCTTTAATGAGAAATATTTGGTTACGCCACTTCTCTTGAACTATTTATGCTACAAAGACCAAACCAACGTTGAAATGTACAGACTGACCCATCTTAGATTGCTTGTCAAAAGCTTCACATTTTCTAAAACTTTTATAAACTGTAATGATAAAATTTGCATAAATTGCCGTAACACTTTATGGATTGAATGCCAATCATGGGAATACAGTGGTAAACATTTAAAATGCTGCTGCTTCTTAACCATTTTAGCTACAAACTTTTAAAACAACTTTAACATTTTCAAAACGTTATAAACTATACTAATTCAAACAAGTATAAACTAACATATAATAACCTACCAACAATAATAGTAGCTATTGAACCATTCAAGCTAGAGACACAAACCAACATTGACATGTTCAGGCTATCCTATCCAATCTATCAATTTTTCCATCTACCTACTTTTCCCAACTATAACCAGTCACTTCCATTACTACTGCAGTGACTACCACTACTATAACTTATTTCACAACCATAAATACTTTAAGACAAGCTAGCAAGAACACACATTTTCTTTAGGAAATTGACTTTTTTATTTATTATTATTTTCTCTCAGATTTGGCGCACAGTGATGTTTTTTGTTAGACTGATGTTCCAGCTCAACACACCAGTCCCCACTAAGGATGATGTCCTTGGTGCCGTCGACAAGCAACTGTATCGTCAATTCAACAATCAGACGAACACTCAAACCACCTTCCAGAATGGAACTTATATCAGTGAGTTTAATAAATTAGGCTTATATCATGAAGACATTTATTTCCACTCTATAATTTTTTTTTATAGGTAAACGTTCAACTGCTTCCGCTATGTAAATATTTCTTGAATGTTTTCTAATGTTGAAACTCCTAAATTGTAGCAGTTCATTTTGTCTGTTGCTATAGTGACCATTGTTTTGTGTGCTCACAGAACTTACAGATACTTCATTTGCCGTCGATCTTGGTTTCAAAATAACCAATGTAACCATGGAGTCGCAAAGCAATAGCCTCACTTTCACCAATGAGACCTACAGCCAGATAGAGGATTCAATTAACAGCCTAGTAAGATATCTCTATACATAAGATACAACCATGGTCATGTTCAGGTCATGACAGTAATTGACAACTTGGTGTTTTGTTCCCCTTTTAGCTCCATGATATTCTTTGTAAACCAGACGGCAAACAGTTTGACTTTCCCAAACCCAACTTCACGTAAGTACAACGTCATGTCCGTGAACCAACCCAGCTTTCTCAACTGCACTCTTTAGAATGTCTGCAGATGTCATACAGCTGCTGTTTGTACAGCTAAACAGGATGGAGGGAACATGTTCAACTCTCACACAAAACCAATTTTTACGTCCACAGTACTGTTGGCACTCAAATCAGGGCAGACGTGATGTATGTATACAAAAAGGAAGACATCAACCTCCCTAGTGCTTTTCTAGAGGAAGTCTTAAAAGTCTCAGGTATGCTGCTTTTGTTGCTATTTCTGTTTTTTATTACAATGAGTTATCAAACACCATATAAAATATGTGTAATACTCAATCTCAAAAAAACACATTCACATCTGTGGTACTGTATATGACATATTACAAGTTTATAATCACTCTTAAATGTATTTTCATTTATATTCTAGGTCTCCTGACAACCACTGTTGCCCCAACAACTACCAGCACCACACCACTGCTTACCGTTTTGCTGACCACTCCTTTCAATACCACAAGTGGTGGAGGTTTTCCTGGCTGGGCTCTGGCCATTATCATCCCTTGTGGCATCGCTATCATTCTGGTACCACTGTGGATCCTGCTTTGTGTACGTATAGGCTTGTGTTCACTTGTGTACTCTGAAAATACTCTACAAAGTATATTATCAAATAAGCTGTTCAATCTCTGCAATGATATTGATTTAACATGTGAATCATACTTCCCCATCTTTGTTTTGTAGTGCATGCTGTGTGGCTGCTGTGCAGCTGTAAGGAGACGCTGTCACAGACGTAGATCTTACAATGTACAGTACACCACCAGAAACGGCCTCTTCTGAGGTGACAACACTAACATCTGTGGGCAACTGTCATCACAAGAACAGCCAATCATCTATATCTGCTAATCACGGGACTTTAATGCATGGAAAATCACTTGTGACTACACACCATTGCATCTGAGAAGATCAAGTGAGGACTTCCATATATTTTTATCATAAAAAGAAAATTGATAATAGGCCACATGTTTTTTGTGCAATGTACTACTTTTTATATAATGCATCTGGTTGTTAATCAACGTTACAGCTGAGCTGAACAAAGTATGTTTATATATTTATTAACTATGTCATGTGTGGTTTCAAGCTGTGCTGTCCACTGACTAAAACGGTTATCACTTATTTATTTAATGTATAATAAGCTTCATTACAATAATATTTATTGTTGTTTTGTTATTTCCTCTCTTGATTAACTATGAACTAATTTATTTTAAAATCTGCAATACAGTACTTGTTACTTCATCTTACAGTTTGACAAATGTAATAAAAATACTTTATGAATGGGTTTGACTGCATGGTGATTACAGACAGCACATCTACACATCAAAAGTAGTCAAAATTGTCCGACCTGGCACCTTAAAGATCTATGTAAACCTTATTAAAGACCCAGTGCAGTCAAAAATGTGATTTTCCTGTGTTTTGTATACAGTTCCTTCACAGTGTTACAACCTGAATTTGAAATGGATTCTATTTAGATTTTGTGACACTGGCCTACACATAATACCCGATAATGTCAGTGGTATTATGTTTTTAGAATTTTTTACAAATTATTTAAAAAAGTAGATATGTATTCAACCCCTTTGTTATGGCAAGCTTAAATAAGTTCACATAACAATTCACATAATAAGTTGCATGGACTCTGTGTGCAACAATAGTATTTTGGCATGACTACCTCATCTCTGTACCCCACACATACAATTATCTGTAAGGTCCCTCAGTCGAGCAGTGAATTTCAAACACAGATTCAACCACAAAGACCAGGGAGGTTTTCCAATGCCTCGCAAAGAAGGGCATTAAAAAAATAAATAAATAAGCAGACATTGAATAGCCCTTTGAGCATGGTTAAGTTATCAATTACACTTTATATGGTGTATCAATGCTGCACCCAGTCATTACAAAGATACGGGCATCCTTCCTAACTCAGTTGCCAGAGAGGAAGAAAACTGCTTAGGAATTTCACCATGAGGCCAATGGTGACTTTAAAACAGTTACAAAGTTAATGGCTGTGATAGGAGAAAACATAGGATGTACCAACAACATTGTACTTACTCCACAATACTAACTGAACTGGTGATGAGGTGGTGTTGAAGGAGTCAGGCGCAGGAGGCTAAATCACAGAATAACAGGCTTTAATCCACAAAAACACAGGGTTACACACTCCAGGGCACAAAACAGGTGCACTGGAAAATACAAGGCACATAGGAAAATACTGCAGTCGAACAAAATACACGAGCTCCACCGAGCTTCACTAACCGTCACAATAAACAATCACCCACAAGGACAAGGGGGCAGAGGGAACACTTATACACGGACTAATTAGGGGATTAGAACCAGGTGTGTGTGATAACGAGACAAGACAATTGTGGTGATGATTGGGGCGGCAGTGGTTAGTACTCCGGTGACGACGAACGCCGAAGCCTGCCCGAACAAGGAGGGGAGGCAGTCTCGGTCAAAGTCGTGACAGTACCCCCCCCCCCCCCCCTGATGCGCAGCTCCAGCAGCACGCCGACCCCGGCTTTGGGGACTGCCAGGAGGACGCGGAGCAGGGCGAGCCGGATGGCGACGTTGGAAATCCCGCAACAGGGAGGGATCGAGGATATCCCTCACCGGGACCAGCACCGTTCCTCCGGACCGTACCCCTCCCACTCCACGAGGTACTGAAGGCCCCCCACCCGACGCCTCGAATCCAGGATGGCACGGACAGAGTACGCCGGGGGCCCCTCGATGTCCAGAGGAGGTAGTGGAACCTCCCGCACCTCAGACTCCTGGAGTGGACCAACCACCACCGGCCTGAGGAGAGACACATGAAACAAGGGGTTAATACGGTAATCAGGGGGAAGTAACAACCTATACGTAACCTCGTTGATTCTCCTCAGGACTTTGAACGGCCTCACAAACCGCGGGCTCAGCTTCCGGCAGGGCAGGCGGAGGGGCAGATTCCGGGTCGAGAGCCAGACCCAATCCCCCGATACGAAGACCGGGGCCTCACTGTGGTGACGGTCAGCGTTGGCCTTCTGACAACGCTCGACACGCTGGAGATGAACGTGGGCAGCGTCCCACGTCTCCTCCGCACGCCGAAACCAGTCATCCACCGCAGGAGCCTCGGTCTGGCTCTGGTGCCACGGTGCCAGAACCGGTTGGTAACCTAAAACACATTGGAATGGTGTTAGGTTAGTAGAGGAGTGGCAGAGAGAGTTCTGGGCATATTCTGCCCATGGCAAGAACACCGACCACTGCATTGATTCAATCACTGAAGGAATGAGGGGGAGAGGATAACTAAATCTTATCGTCTCCCTGTTCAGTGGTCGATAATCAATGCACGGGCGCAGCCCTCCGTCCTTCTTCTTCACAAAGAAGAAACTCGAGGAGGCGGGTGAAGTGGAGGGACGTATATACCCCTGGCGCAGGGACTCGGTGACATATGTTTCTATAGCCACTGTTTCAGCCTGTGACAGGGGGTATATATGACTCCTGGGAGGTACAGCGTCTACCCGGAGGTTTATCGCGCAATCCCCCGCCCGATGAGGTGGTAATTTAGTCCCCTGCGTTTTAGAGAACGCTTGCGCCAGATCGAGGTTTTCAGGGGGAATGCGCACGGTGGAGGTACTATCTGGACTTTCCACCGTGGTTGCACCAACGGAAACATCTAGACACCTACCCTGACACTCTCGTGAGAGCCCTCTGCGGCCATGAGAAGGTGGGGTTGTGGAGTGCTAGCCACAGGATACCTAATACCACAGGGAAAGCAGGAGATTCAATAATCGAAAAAATAACCTGCTCACAATGAGTCTCCTGGGTGATCATGGTGACTGGTATCGTGACTTCCGTAACAAACCCGGACCCTATTGGTCGACTATCGAGTGCTCTGATGGGGAGTGGAATGGATAGGGGAACCAATGAAATGCCTTGACGGCATGTGAATGTCCTGTCCATAATGTTCCCAGCTGCGCCTGAATCAACTAGCGCCTTACACTGGGGAACTACCATGTGATCGGGAAAGTGGATAGGTAGGGTACAGTGCGCAACAGAGGACTCTGAACAAGTGTGGGTGTTCGATCCCTGGGGTGATGCGTGAGTGCCCTGCCTGCCGCCTCCAGGCACAAAAGAACGTTGACTATGACGTGTGGTGTACTGTCCCTTCATGCCACCAGAGTGGCACTGTCGCTGTCCTCCTCCACTCTCTCGGCTGGCAGCTCCACCCAGCTCTATCTGCTCGGGATCAGAGTCGTCTGGGGTGGAAACGGGCAGACCCCTACCAGGACGTCCTCTGGCTGCCAGCAGGTTGTCCAACCGAATGGCCATGTCCACCGGTTTATTAAAGGACAACATGGTGTCCCGGCAGGCTAGCTCCCATCGGATGTCCTCCCACAGATAGCACCGGAATTGGTCGATCAAGGCCCGCTCGTTCCACCCGGACCCCGCTGCCAGGGTCCGAAACTCCAAGGCGAAGTCCTGCGCGGTCCTCATGATCGAAAACCGCCCGAAAGAGGTGAGCAAACTCCCTGTAGTCCTCCAATGCGGCTCCTCCTTCGTTCCACACCGCATTGGCCCACTCCAGGGCTTTCCAACAGAGGCAGGAAACGAGGACACCTTCTCCTGCTCCGATGGTTCCGGCCTGATGCTGGCGAAGTAAAGCTCCAATTGGAGGAGGAATTCCTGGCACAGCGCCGCTGTCCCATCAAACGCCAGTGGTCGGGATATCTGGATCCCTCCGGGTGCTGGGGTGTAGGTGGCTGGATCCGGTTGGCCAGCTGGTCTCGACAGATCGGGTTCTCTCCTCTCCCGGCGTTGAACGACCTGAAGAACCCGATCCATCGCTTCCCCCAAGCTGGCCAGCATCGTGGAATGCTCCTGGACCCGTGCCACGACTTCAGGCATGCGCTCTTCTCCTGCTGACTCCATGAAAATGGGTGGATGATTCTGTGATGAGGTGGTGTTGAAGGAGTCAGGCGCAGGAGGGTAAATCACAGAATAACAGGCTTTAATCCGCAAAAATACAGGGTTACACAGAAATGCGTCAAACACACTCCAGGGCACAAAACAGGTGCACTGGAAAATACAAGGCACACAGGAAAATACTCCCGTCTAACAAAATATACGAGCTCCACAGAGCTTCACTAACCTTCACAATAAACAATCACCCACAAGGACAAGGGGGCAGAGGGAACACACAGACTAATTAGGGGATTAGAACCAGGTGTGTGTGATAACGAGACAAGACAATTGTGATGATGATTGGGGCGGCAGTGGTTAGTACTCCGGTGACGACGAACGCCGAAGCCTGCCCAAACAAGGAGGGGAGGCAGCCTCGGCCGAAGTCGTGACAGAACTGACAGAGTGAAAAGAAGGATGCCTGTATATAATACAAATATTCGAAAACTTCTTGTCCTGAATACAGGGTGTTATGTTTGATGCAAATCCAATACAACACATTACTGAGTACCACTCTCCATATTTAAACCAAAAAGGGTGGCTATTTGATTAATCTAAAACATAAGAAATATTTTGATTTGTTTTAACACTTTTTTGGTTACTAAATGATTCCATGTGTTATTTCATAGTGTTGATGTCTCCACTATTATTCTACAATGTAGAAAATAGTAAAAATAAAGAAAAACCCTTGAATGAGTAGGTGTGTCCAAACTTTTGACTTGTAATGTAAATGTTTTATTTAATGTAATATCTTATGTTGTTCTTGTCTATTACTGTTCTGTACTTTGTCATGTATTTCTATGTTTTATGTGGACCCCAGGAAGAGTAGCTTCTGAATGTGCAGTAGCTAATGG